GCTGGTAATATTTAATCACTAATAATTTTTCAGTACTTCTTAGTATGTTATTTCTATAAGGGAAGATAATCACATGTCAGAAATGCGAGAAACCGGCACATTTAAAAAAAGATTCTAGGATTACTCGTTATGCGACTACCCGAGTCGAAATTTTAAGTCTATTATAAGTCTCGCAGAGTTAATATATGAATCCTTTAATACTCCTTTTGCTACAAGTTCTATCATAGCGACATTTTTTGGGCTGTTTTAATCTTATAATAATATGCAAACCTATGTTAAGCTTTATAGCGTGGGAGGCAAAGTTATGCAGCGAGGTTTTTAAGTCTACTATAAACCTTGGAACACTAATGGGTCTTTTAATATTCCTTATGCTACAAGTTTTATCATAATGTTGCTAACGATGATACAAAATATACTAAAGAATATTTTATTAAAAAGAGTTTAAAAGTTTTAGGATATTTTATTCTATTTCTTTTTTTTATTAATGGGCATAAATTTTATCGACTTCAATATATACAATATTGGGAGTGTGAATAAGTTCTCGCCGTTTCACCATCAGATGGGGGTATAAAAATTTTGTGTATATAATTCAAGATGATGACGCATCTATATTGAAGTTCTATAACCTATGTTTAAAATCAGTGCGTGTCTTTCCATTAACCTATAAAGAACATTTTCTTTTCTAGCGTAAAACATGTCAAATTTCGTGCCAAATAAACCGTTTTTGCGGGAATTTTACTGCACTACTTTATTCAGAAGAAATCTGCAGCTGCAGCACACAGAATTCTTGTAGAAACCTATGGTGATCATGCTCTGTCGGAAAGAACATGCAGAGATTGGTTTAACCGATTTAAAAATGGTGATTTTGATGTTCAAAATAGAGAACGCAGTGGTGCACCAAAAAAGTTTCAAGACGAGGAATTGGAAACATTACTTGCTGTAGATCCATGTCAGACGCAATCCGATGTTGCAAAATCATTAGGAGTTGATCGAACAACAGTTTCGAAACGTCTGACAGCATTAGGAATGATACAAAAGGAAGGATCTTGGGTGCCATACGAACTGAAGCCGAGAGACGTCGAACGGCGTCTTGTCACGTGTAAACAGCTGCTTCAACGACAAAAAAGGAAAGGTTTCTTACATCGTATTGTGACTGGTGATGAAAAGTGGATATACTACAGTAATCCCAAGCGTAAAAAATCGTGGGTTAAGCCCGGCGAAGCAGTAGCATCAACGCCAAAGCGGAATATCCACGGTTCCAAGCTCATGCTCTGCATTTGGTGGGATCAGCTGGGGGTAGTGTATTACGAGCTGCTCCAACCCAACCAAACCATCACAGGAGATCTCTATCGACGACAATTGATGCATTTGAGCCGAGCATTGAAAGAAAAACGGCCGCAATATGAGCAAAGACACGATAAGGTGATTTTGCTGCATGATAACGCTCGGCCGCATGTCGCGTCACCGGTCAAAACATACCTGGAAACGCTGAAATGGGAAGTCCTACCCCACCCGCCGTACTCTCCAGACATTGCGCCTTCTGATTACTATTTATTTCGATCGATGACTAACGGCCTGGCTGAGCAGCACTTCACTTCGTATGAAGAAACGAAAATATGGATCGATTCGTGGATAGCCGCAAAAGAAGTGTCGTT